TTTGTATTCTGCATCGCTTCCTTGCCACATCCTTCTATATGTTTTCACGTTGTCTATGACCTTAGAATCCTTAAACTACTGGAAATGTCCACAGAGCGATCAGTGCGATATTAACAAAAGACAATAAGTAGTTAGTAACAGGAAAATTGTGCTGTGGTCGTCTTTGCTCAGGTCATGTGTGGCGAGCCATTTGCTGTGGACATTGAGGCAGTGGACGAGCATGGCAACCGGTGTGCCAGGGGAATGGTGGCGGCTACACCCACAGTGTGGCCTGAGGTCGTGGGGGGCACACCCGGGAAGACAGGTGCACTCGTCTTCTGCCCAGGGGATTGGGATTGCGCTTGGGAACAGACACAGGTCAGTGGAGCACATTGCTTGGCTGAAAATCTGCCATTTGCCTGTGGTGGTATGTACTGAAGCATGGCAAAAGGCGAGAATGTGAAAGCATTGTCAATGCACACTGACACATCTTCAGGTGGTGGAGGGGTGAATACCTTTGCTGTCCGTGGGACTAAGGGGTTGCTTGGGGACGGTGCATGACGATGGGCAATAAATGTACTGTGAGAACGTTTCCCTCTGTCCCAGAACACTAAAGTACTGGAGCGAGCGACGAACAGTACAGTGGTAGAATGCTGGATTGCATGTCTTGCTGACTGCCTGGATGTTGTGTACACAGTCGGGAGAGGATTTCTTCCGCATCACCTTGAGCATCGCTGGGCCAGTGGGTCCAATAAGACTCGTTGTTGGGGACGCTGATGGAACAGGCGGCTCTAGTCTGCTTTTGAAGGTGTGGCAAACCACAAAACAAGCTATTTCAATGGAATCATCCCTAAACTGTTTGGATGGTAGAACTGGCCAGTGTACTAAGATCCAGGTACTGAACACCACTGAGTACCACTGAATAGTGTGTCTTGAAGGGCTGATGTTGGCCTTTCTCTGTGGTATTAAGTACTGGGAGAATAAAGTGAGCATCACAGTTTATTTTAATTGGGCTACTATACTGCCAGAACATTTTCCAAAAGGGCATTGTGAATGTGACTTCAGAAATTCTCCTTTCAGCGACTCAAATGGTATATCGTTTGAGTGCTTTAAAAGCTTTTTTTGCTTGTCTTTTCCCGTCCTTGTTGCATTTTTCTTTTTTCTTGCTTTCTTTCCATTTTACCTATCATGCATGGCATCCTTTGCATCCATCTAGGGCGGATGATTTAGGATGCACACTGAGCACTCATAAGCATCGAGATCACACAAGTGGCCTAACACAGCATTCAGGATCGATTGGCAACAATTTGTCCAATCTCAGGAAAAACACTGAGTGGGGTTTGTCAACTTAAAAAATCTGACTGGAACTGTGCCGCATTTGAATGGTCATCTTTATGGATCCGTTAGAATTTGCCATTCAGGCCTGTCAATCACTTTACTATGATGTTGACTGAAAATGATGTCTGCATGGCAATCCCCAGTTACTGGGGATTGCTGTGCAGACGTTACTGGTACTGTACCAATAATTGACCACCTTCCTTTTCATTGTTGCATCAATTGCAAATAACAGCAAGAGTTAATTGGATAATGAATGGCATTACTTGAAACGAGTGAATTGTGTAAAGAATTGTAAAGCTGTTTCTGTAGGACTCCCTTGATGTGGACCTGCTGGCTGGGCCTCCTCACGAGCTCATGGTCGAGGGGCCCAGACAAGTGCGCTGCTCAACACAAGGGGCCTTTGGGCCCCTCAAGATCCGGCTGCTGGATAAATGGCATAATCATGTGACTGACCACAAGCCATTTGAGGTACCTAGCATGAGAATTTGAAACTGGATCAGCCTGCCGATGGTGGTGCTGGGACTTGAACTTTGAGCACATTTGTTCTGATTATTAATCGCCAGCGAAGTTGAGGTGTCCCCTGAAAGGGAAATTCTAGCAGTCTTGGGCTTCCTGGACAAATGGCAGAACTACAGGACCCTCTGTAACCGCTTTAAGGTACAGAATGTGATAATATGAATTCAGCAAACACCAAAACATAAATGTACACCAGTAAAAACTCCACCAAAAGGCAACAGAACGCAGACCAACAAGTGGTCTGGAAGGTGGCAGGCAGCAGTGCCCACTAGAAGAATTCATTGGGTTCCATAAGTCTGCGTCAGAATCAACTGTGCTGCTGCCTACCAGCACAGAGAGGATGCGACACTGCCAAACGAAACCTAAGGGGAGTGACCAGGAATGTGGGCAATGAGCTGCGCCTGGCATGTGCCTGACAGGTGCATGGGAAGCGCAATATCACAATGTTTGCTGTGACATTCACGGCAACAAAGTACTTTTCCTGTTTGCATGTTTGCCTTAGTTGTCATACTTTGTGGCTTTTGCCAGCCAGTTGGAACTCTATTGACAACTGGATGCCTGCACATTGTGGATAGATTATCGTTGCTTGTCGATCCTTCCATCAACTCCAGTGGGCATTTTGCAACCCAGTGTTCTGCTTGCTTTTTTATTGGCATCTCAGTGTTTCTATTCGATTGAGCTGTGCCCCTTGCATTAATGTCTCCTCCAAGTACGTTTGTTGACAAGAGACAGACCACTTCACTTCAGCCAGGAACCTATGTCAGGCATTGGTCCAAACAGAGCATCTCCAGACTGCCATGTCTGCAAATACCCAGCTCCTGTGTTTTGATTCCTTGCGTTTGGGCCACAGGTTGTGCTCAACCCCTTTGCGTTGGGCGGGGAAGAGGGGGGTCAAGCTGCTAAGGTGTCCGCAAAGAAGCACAGGGGCAATCGCTTGACTATGACCAAAGGAATGGCAACATGCGAGGAAGTGCAGCTGCAGGCTGCTGAACCGGGGCAGTACCGAGTCAGGGTTGCATCAACGTCCAAGAGACTTGTCCTGATGGATGCCACGATGGTGGTTCAGGTGATGAAATGTGTATTTCTAAAAACAGTGTTTGAAGAATCTAAGCCATTTGCTTTGTTTTGAGAATTCAATGTGAAGAGAAAGAGTTTGGTGATTCGGAGGTTATTGGTGTCATGCGCAAAGTAGAGACCCATAAAGGAGTTTTCTAAGCGGTGGAGTACCATGTAGCCTAAGCTTTCAGTACACAACTTTCGATTCGAGCAAGAATCTGCCAGGATTCCTTGCTAAGAGTTCAAATTCAACGGCTTTTATTGTTAGTTCAATAGACCTTTGAGATTCCGTGAGATGCATTAAGCTGGTGCCTTGCTGGAGTTGGCCCGTGTTGTGGGGCTCTCTGTTCACAGGTTTAGTTGCTTTCCTTTCTCTCCAAACTCTTGCATCTTATATTTATCTGCCCTGGTTGTCATCTGCAGGCAGAGAATACAAACCGTGTTGTTAGCTTGAAACTCTCTGAGCCATCGTTTAATCCAAACTGCGTTGCTGGCGGCTGCGCTGCACTGAAGGTTTTAGTTTCTACAGACGATGGGGAGCCACTGCCACAGGAAGCTGCCAATACAGGGCTCAGTCTCATACTCACAGGGCCAGGTATGTAGGAAAACGCCTGGTGATGAGCTGTGCTTGGCAGGCCATTGCATTTCTGTCCTATCTGTGTCGCAGCTTCTCATCTGTGGTAAGCAAGAGCAGGCAAGGAATAGTGGGCGAGGTACAAATATGCGATTATTTCTTTTGCTATGATTTGTACTATATTCATCCCTCACATTCGACATGAAAAGGTGCAAACCTGCAACAGAAGCTGGTGGGAGTGGGGCTTCAGACTCACCTCCCAACCCTGCATGTGTACAGTGCCCTTGTGTGCACTGCAGTTGAAATCCACTTTTATTTTTATCTTTGATGTTCACGTAGTATAGGCAATCCATGCACAGTGTACTGAGTACTTTACTATGGTTCATGCACGCATTGCACGCTATGGCTCAATATCATAAAGTCCATTTAGTGCAATTATCTGCCATGAGTTCGTCGTTTGAACTATGTCCACTGTTGCATCTGGATGCCCTCTTGGCAAAGGGAAGCTTGATCCTGATAACAAGCCATTCCAGTTGCACACGACCAGCAAAAGCCCCTCTTTCTTATTCGCCCGTTTTCTTGCTTTCCATTCTTCATTCTGTTCACAGCCTGGTTCAGGCCCCCAGGAGGCTGCCCCAGTGTCACTGTTGACAGTTCACACGCCAACAACATGTACCTGGGCAAAAATGCTATTTGTCCAGTAATTGCCAAAACACATGCCACCATACCACACGTTTTCACAGCACCACTTTTGTTAAGTGATGTGCGTTTAGAAAGCACAGGCTTTTGGTCGTTTAAGGAGCACTGCTTTGTTTAATATACGTGTTGCATTTCGTGTTTAAATTTTACATTGGCGCAGTTGCTAGTTGCTGTTCTTGTGAACATTCACTTGCAGACGACGACACGATGAGGCTACCACCCTTACCAGGCCACGCCCAGTCTTCCCAGCCCTCCCCGTCTGCAGCGGCCTTCAAGTTCCGGACTGAGATGCTCAACGTTGCTGGGGCCTACAAGGCTGTTGCGGAGTATGTGGAGAGCCGGGAGGCCCTTCTGCGGTTCATAGGGTGTGAGAGGCTGCGGAAGGTGGAGAGCGTGGAGTGCACATTTGAGATCGGTGTGGGGCCGCCCATGAGGGCAGAGGTGTACTGCGATGGCATGGAGCGGCGACTGGCTGACAGCCCGAGTGTAACGGGCAGCAATGGGGATGCGGTGGAAGACAGGTGAGTGAGTCTTTTTGGGCACAGGTGTTGAATATGTTAGTGAGGGAAAGTGGGGAGGTAAAATTGTTATTACCGCACTGGAAAGGAAGCAACATTATGTCCTGGCTTCCTTAGTTGACGTTTGGCCAGTTAGGAATGTATTTTCTCAACATTGTGCCGGTTTGTATGGGGATGGGTGTTGTTGCTGGAAGGAGATATGACGATTATAGTGTACTATTTTGTGCATCGACACATATGTAATGCATCTTGGTTGTGCAACATTACTTGGACACCACTGCTTGAATTTTGACTCAACAATCCTTATGATAGAGACGAAAGAGCTTGGCCAGTAATATCACATGACAACAGCGGGGTCATACAGTACATCTGTCTGCCTTGAAATTCCCGTTTCACTATGAACCCCCTTCTGTTTGTCGTCAGGCGTCTGTTGAGGAACGTCACTATCGCAGTCCATGACAGGTTCCGAAACCCCACCCCCACTACTGGGCTGGATGTGTCCGTGCACCTTCAGATGAAAGACAATGTGCCCCCTGGCTGTGTCCTCCCATCGCTAACGACCGACCCGTCGCAGTGCGCTGTGGCCACTGACCAGCAGGTGAGGCTGATCGTGATGCCTGTCTGGCTGTCATTCAGTGCCCAAAGGACAATAAGCTGCAAAGGTGGGCTTGTGACAGGGTCGTTAGCAAATACATAAGTAAACAAAAATTAACTAAGAGGGAAGAAAACAAAATGTATTTACAGATGAATGGTGGTGAAGGCATTGTGCAGTGTGTCTCTGGTGTGTGGGTTCTACAACTGGGCTATTCTACTGAGGAGCATGCCATTGTCATTTTGGTGGGTTGGCCAGAAACTGGTACGCAGTTGCATCATTGTGGCAAAGTGCTATCCAGGAATCTCAAAAGATCCTATGGTACAGTGGCTAGCACCAATACTGTGCATCCTATAGCTAGCAGTGGTGCTGGCGATAGGCGGTGCTGGCACCCTGCGTATCACCCCGGGCCGACACTGCTGTTTTCTGAAGCGGAGGCTACCGCTGAATACTGTTTGGCATTGTAGCAGCTCATCGGAAAGTCTGCTGTAGTGCAGTTTACTTTGCAGCTGGCACCACTGCTTGCTCCATGGGGCATTGCTTATGTTCATGGAACAGTCCATTTTATGTACATAAAATGCACATGCCCTTTGTGCGTATTTCATCCCTGGTTTGTATATGTAGTACACAGTTTTGCGCTCAGGGCGGTGCTTCAAAAGTTGAATTCGAACCTGACATGCAGGGTCGGATAGAATTAGGAGACCTGGTCCTTGAAGCTGGTTCTGGCAAAGTTCCAGAAGATTCCGGGTCCAGCGCCTTAGAATTGCGCCTGGTGTTTTCTGTGGGCGGTCTTCGGGACGACGAGGGCCGCAGGATGCCTTTGACAGACGTATTGGAGGTCAACGTGCTGTTTTCAGATGGTGCAGCATGCTCATCGATTTTGAGATCCGCCTCTCAGAGAATGCACGGGGTGGAGAAGCGGAAGGCGGAGCTGGACAAGCAGCTGAGGGCAGCTAAGAAGTGAGTGAGGGCAGTGCCATTAGCTTTTTTCCACTGTTTCCTGATTTGCGGCAACCTCGATGGCTCGATAGAACAGTCGCTTATCTAAGCAGATGTCTAATCTAAGCATCTGCTTGCCACTTGAGCTTTAAAAGCAGCAGATGGTTGCACAGCCAGCAGGAGGCTCCAGCTCTCAATCTTCTGTACATTGTCGCATTAGCAGTGGGCGGGAGTACTGGGCCATGAAGCGTAAGTACTCTGTTTTCTGAATGGCACTGATCGACCGTTGCATTCAAATTGGATAGACACATAATAGTTAAGTAAATGAACAAGCATGTATATGTATTTGCTTTTTTGTCTCCTTGTTTGGGTTCATTTTTTATCAGTGTGTTATAGAGCAATTTTCAAGGCAATTGTCAACTTCCAGTTTGTTCTGTGCATCAGCAAGGGACTTGTTATATTGCCAAATTCCTGATCATAGTCAATAGACAATTGCCCTACCTATGCTGATAGAAACAAATTGTGTCGTAGAGTTGATTTAACAGTGTGTTGCCAATTTCGTGCCTAGTTAGCAAAGATGGACCTCTGTGCAGTAATCCACACAACGGCTGTGAATTATTGAGTGCAGTAGAGAATTAAATGTTTCACTGCAAACAGACACAAAACATTGTATCTGTGGTTTTGTATATTTGCATCACACAATTCCCAGCCATACAGTGTCTACAGCGCCTTGCATACATTGCGCACATCTTGTATGAGCACACTTGCAATGTGTGAACAGTCCTGTATGCTGTGTATGTCATTCATCGTATGCACTAAATCGACATGCAGCAACAGTTTCTCATATATTTTAAATGTCTGCAGTGCAGCAGATAAAGCTAAGAAGCAACACCAGGGGACTGTCCGTGCTGTGGAGCATGAACGGCAGGGCATCCATGGCACAGTCCCAGCATCCATTTCAGAACTCAGGATGCATCTTGATAGCTTGGCTGATCGTTGGAACAGGTGGGCCACAAAACACTGGTTGGGTTTGCATCCAATTATTTATGTTCATGCAGGCAGAATAGTTGTTTATAATGCGCTCCTTATGTATTGGGCGTGTTTTTCACCTCTAGTTTCCTGTATTTACAATGATCAGCAACTGCAATTGTAACGGGGCGCTCATTGGTTGCTGAATAAGGAAATTTAAGTGACAACCGCTTCTTGCATTGGCAAAGCACTGGCAGTGTGTGCCTGCTAGTGTTTTAGGTCAGGGGTGCGATGGTGACAGATATTTGGAGCCTTCATGAGCTATTTGGGGGAATCTAGTTTCCGGCAAGGGCATTGTGAAATGGACACATCGTAAATCACAGCAGATGTACCATATGATAATTTAAATCTGACAGAAATATTCAATCTGTCATACATATGATGTGGTGGTCATATGAGAAACACCCCTCAATACAGGCTGATGTCTGCCTCCCTTGCTCCCAGGTGTAGCCCCCGATTGTGCCTCCAGGCGATCGCTCCACACTGGGTAGAGTCAGGCTTGATGTAGCCCATCGCCGCAGACTATTCTGATTATGCACTGCAGGAAACTGTCAGCACAACACAGGTGCACAGTTGCTTGCTACTGGTTGCTTCATACTGGCCAACAAAGAACTTGGAATGACCTAAGTGAGCAGATTATGCACACATATCAATAATGAGTAAATCTGAAGAGTGTGAAGATATTAGCATTATTGGTGAGTGCCGTACACGCACCTCTGTATGGGCTTCCCCACATCTGCTATTAGTCGCTTGTTGGAGGTTCTTGAAAAAGGGTTGAAAAGATCAGTTCATGTGTTCCAGCTAAGCATTCCTACACTTCATACTCCAAATCTGGTCTTGTCACATGGCCTTCAGCTTATTCACTATAGCACATCATACAATTATCTCAGACCTAAAAACTGCATTGAACAAGGCATCAAAGGGCTCATCCTTAGTGCACTGTCATAGAGTCATTTCCAACTTGTTGGCAGCACAGGTTGCATCATTTTCCCATTCTTGAAATAGGCGGAAGCCACAATTTGGGGCATCCCTTCCGGCGCTTTCCAATTCCTTGTGCAACTCTTTTGACCTCTTTCAAACCTGCTTCTCTGGGCTCTTGTTTTATGCCACTTGAAGTGCTGTTTTGGTTGCTGCCAACAGGCAGCAAGCTTCACAACCAGCATTGGATGCTGCATTCGGCGACCCCCGGGATCCCCAGACAGTTGCAGTGCAGCACTGCCTGCTTGCACGGGACCCCGACGTTGTGGGTGTCTTTGCACAGCTGGGGACTGTCACAGATCAGCGACTGGCGGCAGTGCTCGCGGCCGCCTGCGGCAAGAGCCTTCGGGTGTGCTTTGTATATGCTGTAACGGTGGTGCTTTGCTCTCCACACCAAATTCAGCTGAACTGCATTTTGCCGAAAGTTATGTTGTGTTATTGTGGACCGTCTTGCCCTAAGGGCGGTGTTGCGCTCAGCCAAGAGCTGCACTGTAGTGTTTATTGTGTATGCAGTTAGCTGTTTCCGGTACTTTGCTGTACTGTATTGTGCTGAGATGTAGTGTATTGTACATCGTTGTACAGCTGCTAGTACTGTTCTGTTCAGCACTGTTCCACCATCTGACAGTAATTCTGCTTTTTTGCTGCAGATCCTGGTGGTCCGGAACTTCCAGTGCCACGAGCGGCTGATCGCTGAGCTGGACAAGCAATGCCTTGGGGTGCCTGCGATGCTCCCCATGGACGGGGTGCGCAAATTTGACACTGAGCAGCGGGAGGCCCAGCTACAGATGCAGATGACTAACCAGAGCGCTCTGTCTGCAAAGCTGCATGAGGATGCCTGCGCGGGTGCTGACGAGCCGCTGGCCCTGCTGCTGCCACACACACTGGCGGCAATGAAGAGGCGGAAGGGTAGGGAACTGCCTTTTGTTGGATGTGCAAATGTGAAGTTCATGTATTGTGCAGGAGTTCAATTCAGATTTGCAGTCCAATTCTTAGGATTTACAATGCGGGTGTGCTGTGCTGTGCTGGATAAAACACTGGTTGCACTTGTGCCACCACCAATGTTATACAGTTTGCTGCAAACTCGAAACATCATTATTCTTATGTAAACACAACAATTAACTATTCTAATATATTCATCGCACTTGTGACTGCAAGCACTGACGTAATGCGACTGGGAATCTTGAACCATTTTATGCATACCTGGGTGTGCACGGTCAGGATTTCCCTGCCCTACCAAATTGCTATCTTGGCAATACTTTGCTGATACGAATAAAAGCAATGTTTCTTAGTACGTTACAATGCTGACAAAGCAGATGTCGCCTAGTGCTTAGTACCTGTGGTGTTGAATTCTAGGTGAGACGTCCAGCTATAAGCTCCCCCCTACTTCCTACCCAGACGGCTTTGTGGGCTTCATGTGCAACTTGATCCGGCCTGCAGTGCAGGGCCACCGATCTTCCGTGTTCTGGAGCATGCTTAACAGGAATGCTGTCTTCGAAACAATGAAGCAGGCCCATGCCTACCGACGCTACGTGACTCAAGTGAGACGATTTCGACTGTAGTTTCCTGCTGTATTGCTTCGCATTTGTTTCAAGCTATGCAATTGTGTATTTCGTTTTCTGGGAAAGGCAGTTTCCGAATTCTACAATGATCCAAGTTTTACAATTCTCAAGCACTTGTTGTGATGTAACGACGCTGGTTCTTCGTTTCTGTTGCCTGGATTTTGATTGATCCAACTTTTACACTGCTTTGTTGGTAATCGTTGTTCTCATATGATCTTTAGCCCTTTGGTTCCTTTCAGTCAACCTTCATGTTGAATCTGTCAGCCTCTGTATCGGCTCTGTCTATTGCATTTGTTTTTTTTCTCCGTTGGTTAGTGGCACATCATCAAAGAATGCTGTTTATTTAACAGATGATATGCAACTCATTGTTTGTCATCAAATGCCATCAATGACTTTGTACCACAACATGTGCCATTGGCAATGGAAACCATGTGGTGTTCCTCCAGCTAGTCCTTGTGTTGTCTAAACTATCTGCCGTTTACAGCTGCTGATCTTGATATCAAGCATATTGCAAACCCCAATGCAATAGGCAGAGCGGACACAAAGGATGATAGATTCACATGAAGGTCACACGCATATTACATGTAAACATGAATATGTGTATTTATATTCATATGTAATACATTGGAATTATACATATGTATATGTTTATATTTATTTATTTATTTACATTTGTACTTATTTACATTTATATTGATTTATATATTCATTCATTTATTATCCTTTTTTTGATCTGAAACTGTGCATCTGACCAGTCTGCCTGCGACGGCTGCAGACATTGAAGCTCCCTGTCCCTATGACTGTCTTCACTCTGGATGGCAAGAAGTTGGATAGTAGGGGCGTAATAGAGGGAAGCGACTGGAAAGTGCAGCCACTCAAGGATGCCAGGCTGCGTTTTGGCACAACGCCTCCCCAACAGGTGTGCGGTCCATCAATCCCACTTGTCACGTAGTTGAGTGCTGCGCAAACCACTTCATCAGAAAATTTTGTGCATTACTCAAGTTTGCTGAAACTGTAGGCTGTTCAGCGTTTTACTTCCTCTGTTCGGAAAAAAATGAAACAGTTTGTTGACTGACCGCAGTTTTATCATGTACTTTTCATTTTTCCTTCAAAATTGGACCAGCATATCTATTATGTGTTTATCAATGCTGTCAAAAATCTATCGACAGAAAATAAGATTCAGGCAGATGGTAGTACTTTGAAGCCAAATGGCTCGGCACCAGAATTTGAACATTCGCAATCAGTCCCCCAGTGGGGGAACCCCACCCTAACAAAACCTAGCGCCCCAGACCCAGGAAGGCCCGGCGCACAAGTGATGCCCTTTCCAGTGGTCTTGAAAGCATCAGAAGGGGGGAGCTGCCTCGGCGTTCGGGCTCTAGCCCGAAGATCGACACCCTTTGCAACGCACAATCGACAGAAGTGGCTTCTATGTTTGCGTACTGCCATCGATGGATGCTCGAAATCTCCCCCATCTTCCACAGCAGCACACCGACATGACTGGGATTCCCCGGTGCCTAGAGGTCTCCTGGTGGCTAAAGACTAGCCGCGGGATATTTCAGCACAACATAAGCTCCGTGTTCAGCACAAATCTCCGATTAAGTGCCTTCCTGTTGCAAGCAAACCCTCTTTCCAAACAAGCTTCAACCCTGCCAAACATGACATTGGAGGGTTTGGATGCTATATAGGAGACCCCATGTGTCGCTATGGTGGCATTCTTGCGTCTTGCAAGGGCATGGGCGAAGCTCATTTGCAGCGGCGCACTTGAAAGTGGCGTGAATGGCACGCAAAATATTTCTCGCAGCACGCGCCCACCACAGCCAGTTTCAACGATCTTCTGGCTGCCACACAGTGAGGGGAAGATCACATTCTCCCAAACCTTCCATGGTGGTCTTAGCACCCATGGCGTCCTCGCCCATGGTGGGGGCCTTTTCTGCAAACGCCGTGATTGTGAGGTTCGCAGATTTCAAGGTCTCCGATGTGGAGCTGCCATCCTCATAAGGCCATCAAAACCATGGTCACGATCAAGGATCGAGCGGTAAAGAACCCGGTTTCGTGGTCTTCCCCCTTTGGTAGGAACACTGTCGACCTGCCACCAACACGGCAGCAACAGATATCCACTCTGGGCTGTGCACCATCAGTCACAAGGCGGCCTGGTCAAGGACCTGTTTTGAGGGCTGTTCGGCCAGACCTTGAGAAACCTTGACTTTTTGGTCTGAAGCACAAGGGTTCAAAATACTGCCAGGTGGCCGGTACTTATCCATTGTCCACAAAATTTTGGCAGTACATAGCAAATGTGTACGTAGTGCCTTTGTCCAATTTTGAAGGAAAACTAACAAGTTCACGATACAAAAATGGCCTCTTAAACAAACTGTTTCATTTATTTCCGGACGGAGGAAGTAGGTTTTGGTTCTGGTCCACGCTAACTACTGATGGGATTGTTACTTTCAGAAACTGGCTTACCACAGTGTGGATGGCCAACAGGACAATCGCGCAACGCGCGCCACCAAGTGCCTCATCACCTATTCATATGTCATTGGTTCAAATTCGCGGCTGTTCATCGAATTGCGAATTGCAGCAATCAGTGTGATGAGCTTGAACGAATTTCCGAGTGTTTTTTGTCATCAAGCACCCATTGCCTCGAAGCTGTGCTGTCTGCATTAAGTCAAGAAGCTGTTGTCTAGGCTTTTGAATGCGACCCGGCTGAAGGGTGAGTCAATGCCACTGTGGGCCGCAGTGACTGCCGAATATGGAACTTTATATGAGAAACAGATGGTGCTTCGAACAATATTCTCATAATACAGCACTTCATGTTTTGTGATGCACCACATTGATCAAGCGCTTGGCGCATGCAGTCTGTGGATGTCTTGATGGCGACCCAGCATCTGGGCGAGCTCCGCCGGCTGCTTGCGGCGATGGAAGAGGAAGAGCAGGCAGGGAATGAGGCAGCGGCAGCGGCCAAGGCCCACCAAGACCTTCGGGAAGAGGTGCAAAGGGTGAAGGAGGAACTGGCCACAGAAAGGGACAAACTCAAGCAGCACCTCAAGATTGAGAAGTCCAGGTGATGCAGAGCCGTTTGGGCTTGCAGTGTGTGGGCTGACTTGCAGAAGAGAGTGTTACGCACAGCACTGGGCTTGTGTTATGTGCATTGCCTGGCTGACTGGAGAGTTATGGGCAAGGCACTGGTGCAATCGTCGGTACTCTGCTCTGCAGTCAGCTAGTTCGTTGTCTTTCTTTGGTGCTCAATTAGTGCCTAGATTCCAATTTATTTCATCAGATGTACTATGTGCTGAGGCACATTTGGTAGGAAAGTCGCTTGGCATAATGATGGATTGGGGTTGTATACTGATGGCATGAAAAGCTTTGCACGCTGCGAGATACACTTCACAGACAGGGCTGGTGCACATATTTGATGTCTATTATAATTTGGGGAGCCAAATGCTGATGTTTTAACTCTTGCACGATCATGGTGTGCGACTGCACTATCTGTGGTTTCCTGGAGCTTGGAAGCATTATTGCAAAGTCGGCAAAGGAACATATAAAAGTCACATGCCAATTCGGGTGGAGGGATGCTGTTGTTTATGGCTTCTGGGAAGTTTAGGTAGTGCAAAACCAGAAGGTTGTAGTTATCTCTTTCACAACAAACTTCAAGGCAAAGCAAACTGCTGAGTTGTACATCACGTGTGTTGACAAGAAACGTTGCATTTGACACTGAGAATTGGATCAGTAGTATGTGACCCACACTCCTTCCCTTTCTCATACTTAACGGACCAATTTACATACTTGCAGCTCAGCCTTGCAAAGATTGAGTCAAATGAGGGCCAAGGCCAAGTGCACTTGTAAAAATGGAGATGGATCGGTGCATCGCATTCGATTGTTTTGCGTGACAGTTTTCCTCGAGGCACCGCAACAATGGAGCTGCTGGTGCAAATCTGGTAATGCTGACAACCAATTTTGCATTCACTCCCATCCAACCCATTGTTGTTGTCCCATGTCTTCCCTTACACGTTCGCCTTGAAATAGAAGGGCCCTCACCTGGAAGTGGCTTCATCATCCAATCCTCTGTCAACAGCCTTTGAACAGGGAGCAACTCACCGCAATCATTTCACCTTCGTGCCATTGGCTTTGAATGCGAAAGGCAGTGGTCACATCCTACCAACCACTGTATGAATGGAGGAAATAGAGCTTCACCATGCCATCTGCCACAGAGAATGTCAAAGATGCCATTTACTGCCATGATTGCATTTACATCATCCTCTTCAATGGCAATGATGAATGCAATTTGAAGCACAATTTGTGGCATGTCTTCCAGCAAAGTGGCAATGTAGGCCACCAAAGCAAAAGAAACGCAGGGAATGCCATCATTTCTGACAACTTTGATGCCATCAACTTTGAGCTGCTCACCCCATGGAAGGTGTTTGATGATGTCGACATCAAGGAGCAAGAGACCTGGAAATAGCAAAAACCAGTCCCGCTTCTGCATGCGTTCCTTGAGATGGTCCATTAATGGCAGGGCTTCCCCACTTTCATTTGCATCAAAGTATTTTGACTTCAAACCCCAATACAACGAAATCAGTGCAAACAATTGGGATATGTGAATGGGCTGCACGCACACTTCAACTGGACAGCCGTCAAAGCTGCCTCACGATGTCTGCGATTTTGCTGGCCATCTATGCATGTTTGTTTGCATACACGACCTCACCACCTGTGTTGGCCCCGGCATGCCACAAGGGCAATGGCGAGATGAGGGGCAAAGGCGCACCACCAAAAGTAGCACCGTTCTGGCCAAAGGCTCGTGGGAACGTTTGGTATAGATGCAGGGCAGCTGCATCAATTGCCAACGCTTCCAAGGGGGCAAGGTCGCGGAAGAACAAGAGGAGAAAACGACAGAAGGGAGGAGAAAATGACAGAAATATTGGTGCTGGAATGAGAAGCATTTTTGCTGCAAGGAGGACTAACACAGTCCAGGGAGACCAAATCTTGCTGAAATTCGGCTTTTGTTCTCGAGCTTTCGAGCACATCGCCCTGGCAATGTGACTTGTTGAAAAGACGGCCCCCCATGTCATGCACTTCTTGTAATGCACCACAGTTTTGTCTGCTTGAAAGTCTGGGATGGCGTGAAAGATAGCTGGTGGGAGCTTCAAATGGCCAGCGGTCCTACAGCAAATCTCGATCATCTTGAAATGTTCCCGCACCCATGTGTGGAGCTGGCACATTCGCTGAAGTCAGAAGCAGCATGGCACAGAATGCGCATCGCCCAACGCCGGCGTGCAGAGACGTGCTTCGGGGCAGCGTGTTGCTTGCCGTGGGTCTCCACGTGTGAAGGAGACGTTCGCTTCGAGCCGCGACGGGTCGCTGGTGTTTGCATTGAGTTCAAGTGGGCAAGAGAATGCTTTTGCCCCCATTATAAAACGCATGCATTGCGCCAGGACATGTTGACAAAACTAATGCAATATCAACCTTCATCTGCCCCATGGTCCCGATGGTCTGCCACGACGAAGTTCCTTTAAATCGAAGCAGAATTTAACCAAATTGGCCAATTTGGTCCGGTCATGGTCCGTGCGTGAGCGGCGACGCCAGCCGATCACCTCGCAATGAACAATCAACAGTCAATTCCAAATTCCATAGCGCATTGTCAGCGCATCCGAATCTCGACTGATTCGAGGATGGGAACGCAATCCACTGCATAGGAGGCCATCCGTCACATCCAAGCTTTCACCCAAGCGCACTCTTCAAGGCACACGCTCGGGCCTGCGCACATGCAAGTGTACAAGCACGGGTGCATCTAACAACCATTTGCCCAATAGTCTTGCGGCACATTTCAAAGCGCTTTCTCTTGCCCAAAGCATCTGTGCCGCCGCACTATCTGCCTGTGCCTCTCCAAACGGCATCCAAGACACCTCAACATTGGCGGCAAACAGCAGTTTCTTCAACTGAGCCATCCGAGCGGCATGAATGCGCGTCGCCGCACAGGAGGCACAGGGCGATTGTACTTGGTTGCATTTGGTTGTCGAGGCTCCAACATTGCAAGAACAGCAACGAACACGGCGGCGTACTCATTCTCCAACCCCACTAGGCTGCAGGGAGAACCATGTCAAACACTCCCTAGACCTCTCTTCCCGACCCTGCCCACCAGCCGGCGGGGTGGAGTGCCACACCGATACAGGTTCTACGGCGCACAGCCCTTCTGGCAGCTGTGGGTACCTGTCAAACCGCTTTTTAGGCTCCTTTTTACCTCATGTGCCGTATGCCGCACCGCAACAGTGCCGCAACAGTGTCCCTTATCATCACGGTAGCTTATTTTGGCGCCCAAACAGGGTACTACTGATCTTGGGTGCATCCTGCGTGCAAGAGATACTTGCAGACAGGGATGATGCTCTGGCTTCATCTTATAGGCTGTCTGTTGCCTGCGCTGCATCCATTTGGGCGCCTGGCGCAAGAAGGGCAACGACATTCTTCGTTGGCCAATGCATCGGTTCTCTGTGATTGTTTACTTGCATTCAATATTCTAGGGCTCGGATGGTTAGGAACTAAGTGCACAACATATTGGAACATGGATTGTCAATGAAGCGTGCTGCCCGGCATTGCTAACTGACATTGCCAAGTGGCGGTGTTCAAGATCAATCGAATAGGCTGTCTCTGGTCGTACGGCGCATTCAAACGTTGCCATGGTGATGGCAGCAGAGCCTCACACAAGCGCGCGTGGGGGAGGCGTTGCAGCGGCAGCCCATATTTCAAGGAGGTCGAGGCACATTTCCACCCGTCATTTTTTGCATTTGAAATCTTAGGAAACTGAATGTACCTGCCCATGCTCAATGGCAAATGAGTGAAGTCAAGATGCCTTCCGCAAATTTAACGTGACATGCGTTCGAGGGGCTTCCCTGTTTGCGTTCTATTACGGCTCTGGCGCCGCCTGAACTCAGAAATCCTAATGATAGTCCGCCAACCGATTCACAACAGTTCGAAGGACCACGCGCCGTTTGATGTCGTTTGTTAATGTTTGTGAATGGTGCACTGCTGTGTCGCCGAAAATTTTCAAAAAAACGCGGCATCCGCTGGTATTGACTGGTACTTCCATTTGGTGACGGCCTTGCTCAAAGGTGTGCGCATATTGGTGCTCGGTATTTGGACAGCAAACGTGGGCTCGAGGGCATGGATAGGCTTATCCAAGACAGTCAAGAAATCGTATTCTAATGCGCAATGTGCAGCTGATTGAGCACTACAACGGTGTCCTGAGTGGTGCACGCTTTGAAGTTTTTGCGATTAGCGGAAAGCACTGGCGGCCAACTGGTCCCGGGGGCTAGATGGCCCTCTGCGATTTGGCCCCTGGGGCGGCTCCGGTTGATGCCGGCCGCGGCACGTCGTATGCCGCAGCAGCGAGGCGCTTGTGCACTGAAGGACGGTGGGCGCTGGTCAGTGGGCTGTCCTCCTTCGGTGAAGCCTCCAGGCCCCTTGGAGACCTTGGGGCGGGCCTGCCACACGCGAAAAGGAATCCTTGGAGAATTGTCCTCTAGTTGGGGCCTTGTACGCGCTCACACAGGAAGTTGCTTGTCAGACACCAGTCTTCCTGGGAGGCTAGGCATGGGCTCCGAAGATTGAAAAGGGAAATACTCAGTCAGATTTACGAGCTGCATCAACCGAATTGCGCAACTGTGCCAATTGTGCCACAATTTTGTCGCGAGCGGCTTCGAAGCTGCTACCTTGTGGCCAAAATCAAAGTGTGCTTTGGGCCACGGATGCGCACACATTGCGATCTATCTGCAATGCCAGTTTGGCTTGTTGGACAAGTTCCGGCGCAGTTCGAGAGAGCGGCGTCAGTGGCTGGGTCTCACCAGTGCCGAAAGGGGTGGGATCACGCCCTCCGAAGAAGCAGGGTTGGATCCTTCAATCCTCAGCCGTCGACTTGCAGCTGTGCTTCATGCTGTGGACGCCCATGCAGGGTGCGCGTGGCACGCCTGTCTTGCATGGCGCTCCCGTGCATTTGTGGGCCTTGGGAAGGCTCTGCCGTGTACCTCTGACCATCAGCCATTGCCCAGCATTAGCGCTTAAATTTTAACATAACACA